ACATCAAGGCAGTCTTTTCAGGGGAGAACAGACAAATACTAGCCAGGGCTTTCTGAAAGGTGAGCTGTCACCTTCTGAAAATCCTTATTGCAAGCCGCCTGTGGGCTCAACTGAGCACTTCACAGGGACATCATATTTCTCTGAGCTGACCTTCCTAGAAAACTTTTGTCTTGGGTTGAGTGAGTGGTGGAGTTTTTTGGTGGCAGGGGAGGGGGCTATCGGGGCGGCCCCCTGTGAGAAGCTTCTCGAAGCTCCCCCAGCTCCAAGCCAGCTCCACTTCTGTTTGGGAAATTGAGCCAATCAGCTGCACCTCTGTGATAACGTATTTAAGAAGGAACATGGTGACGGGCAGTCGGACTTGTGAGGAGGAGTTGCTGCAGCTGCATGAACACCAAGGTCAGTGGAGGAACGGAGGAAGAAAGGAGGGGGGAGGTGTGCCGGAGCAGAGACCCCCCTGTATCCTGTGGGGAGACGGCAGGGCGGCCCCTCCCTGCCACCCATGAAGATCTACGGTGGAGCAGACATTGATTTATGGCCTGTGGCTTCTGCTTGCCTGATCAAGGTTCTGTGCCCAAAGAAGGCCGGGATCTCATGGGAAAAGGCAGCCCTGCTGCTGTAATTCAGCGCTGGGAGGATTGCAGCATGCGGGGGTGTCCCACACTGGAGCAGCTCGGGAAGGGCTGCAGCCATGGGAGGAAATCCACTCAGAGAAAGTTAGTGACCCATGACGGAGCAGTGTGGGGAACGCTGCAACCCATGGGAGGAACTCGTATTGGAGAAAGTTTGTGGAGGACTGTCTCCTGTGAGAGGGGGACCATGATGGAGCAGGAGGAACAAGTTCCGGACACTCCCCTCACTGAAGATAAGAGAAGTGGCAGCACTGATTGCACCCCCCATTCCCTGCCCCTGCGCCACTGGGGGAGGAGGTAGAGATATCGGGAGCAGAGCTGAGCCCGGGAAGAAGGGAGGGGTGGGGGGAAGGTGTTCTCAAGATGTGGCAATGCTTCTCACTGTCCTACTCTGTTATGTGTTGTTAGTGTCTGTAATAAATGTATGTTCTTTTTTTCTTCCCCTAACGAGTCTGCCTTTTGCTCGTGACCATAAAGGGGAGTTTTTCCCCATCCCAGTCCTATCTCGAACCCCAAACCTGGCTCTCTGTCCCTTCTCATTGCCGGAGGAGAAGGGAGAGAGAGCTGCTGCATTGTGGTTGGCTGCCAACCAGGCCCAAACCACAACAACTTTGCAGTCCAAATTCCTGGAAGTCCTTTCACCCTAAATCAAACACCCTTTTAAACAGGTCCTTGTTGTACAACACTTAGGCTGCGTGGCCCACATGGCACTGATACCTACTTTCTTCGGTAAGTTCAGTGGCATCCAAAGTGATGCCATGGAAATTATTTTATCTGATTTCATCTTGCATTGACTTCCGTGTCACAAGAGCTGGGATGGCCTTTCAGAAGAGGAGGGGCAACATAGTAGCTGGGTTTGGGTAGCCACAACTGTAAAGCAGAGGCGGAGGCTGAAGACAGAGGAGAAAATATCATCATGCAATATGCTTCATTTTCAATGACTTCTACCCAGTTTGCGTGCTGGCCCCAAGCAAGTACCACGAACCTCTTTGTCTTTGCAGGAGGGCAGACGTGCTACACCCCACTGTGGAAAATGCTGCAAAAAAGCAGCAAAGCAGCTCGCAGCCTGGCGAGGCCAAGGACCCTCTGGGGCCCGGGGCCCGTGGAAGCGGTGCGAGCGTGGCACCGCTGCGGCTCCCAGCAGGCCAGCTCTCCGCCTCAGTTCCTCCCGCACCGGGGCACCACGGTGAAGGGTCCAAGCGCCTGCACCCAGCTCACCCCCGTCCCCGCTGCGCAGGTGGGCGGCTGACCTGCTCCGGCCCCAGGGATGCTGCTGAACCCTTGGGTTTCAAAGAAAGAAATGGATCCTTCTGGCAATTGAGAGGTCCCTTTTTATGGGTGCAGGATGATGGATTATCATTTTGTGTAGTCCTCTGCTGTTCTCCTCCCCCCATTTTTTTTTTTTAATAAATGAAAACACACCAGAAAAGCTCAGCGTCTTGTTTCAAAACTTCTCTATTTCATGAACTTGTTCCAACCTCCATCACAGCTCTTTCCTTGTCAGCAACTGTACCACTGCGCTATACCTCTGCCCACGCACAAATGCACTGGTTGAAGGTATGAACTGGAATCTCTCCGTTAAAGGAACAAGCAGGCATCCCAGAGACTGACACAGCTGCTATTTGCATGTAAAAGAGGAAAAGAAGGTGCATGACTGAGCCCAAATTAGCATGAGCAAAGCCTCCCACCGCATTTGCAAACTACAGCTTGCACAGTGGTGCTAATAGAGGTGTGCACTTTCCTCACAAAGAGATTTCTACCTCAGCTATAAGGAAACTTGGCAAACAGTGGTTCACAGAATTTAGCATCACATGAACTTTTAAATCTCCTTTTTCCTAAAATTTACAGCATGCTAGAAAAAGAGAAACACAGCAGATACAGGGTGAAGTGCATATGCCCAAGTTTAACTTCACCTCCACTTCCAGCTTGATTCCTGAAACTGGCTACCTCGGCAACAGCCATATTTTCTAAGGCCTCCATCATTTCTGTACCCCTAGATTTTTGAATGTCCAGAAATATTCACAGTGCTCAGTGCATCTAAAAATAAAACACAAAATAAGCAGGGCAAATGCAGATCTAACATTCCATGTCTCATTTCCATCTTTTGAGAATTTAGGACCTTTAACCTCTTTCTTATCATCAGCTCTTTTCAAAGGGATACTGTGGGGACTCATTTATGTCTGCAAAGTCTTGCTGAAGACACACACTTCATAAACTATAAGATTTCCAAATTTTAACACAATCTTTGTCTCTTTCTCTAGCTATGTACACACATACCTAAGCATCCATGCCTGTGCACATACCTACTGAGTCATAAAAAGAGGATTAGATGTCTCAGTGGACTACTTAAGCAGTGTAATTTTATTAAGAAGTGTCCCCCCAACCAAACTGTAATTTGAGGTCTTCTCGGAGAGATGTGATAGACTCTTTTTACTTTATCATCATGCTTTCAAGGAAGCTGTTGGAACAATTCAGTGCCTCCACTGTTCCTGCAGTAAGTTTAGCACATCTGAGAGGCTAGAAAGAACAGTAAATGCAGACATTAATGGTAATAAAAATCAAAGCTAAGCCCTACATGAAGAGAAACAAATTCCAGAATGAAAAATTTGATTACACAGTACCTGTCTTCTGTCTTGACTTCCTCATTATACGTAGAAATTAACCCTGCCATTAAGTACTTTGATCAGGCTGTACATAAACAGCTTATAACGGCATGAAATCTACCACAGCAAGCAGGCAAATGAACAAGGGGAGAAATACTGGCATTTGGGGCTGCTGTCAGACATCAAGTGTTCCTACTCCCTCAGGGCCAAACTGCTAGAGTAAATGGGGTTACTCCAAGGATTAATTGCTCCTTCCTGGTTTGCACTACTTCCAGAAAGTTTCAGTAATAATATCTAATAGGCTATCATTTGGAGATCAGTAGCATGATTTTAAGATCTTTGAGAGATTTATAAATTGGGCTGTTGTAACTGCTCTTAGGCTAAAACTCAGTACAGAAATTTCCAGCCCATGACTGAGCTGAAGCAGTATCCCCTTTTTAAAGTGCTCTGAGGTCAAAAGAGGAAAAGCGGTATTTAAGTAGGAAGAGTTATTATAATCTATCTACTCAGAATTAAGGCACCAGAGGAGAGGTGCCTGTGGTCAAATTGTTCCAGGTTTACATTGCTCAGAAATGAGGTACGGCACCATTTAACATTCTCCAGCTCCAAACATTTGTCACTTCAATTTGGAGAATTTCCACACACTAGTACATATTATAAGCAAGATTTCTGGGCAATTTAGAGGGTTTTTTGCGGGTTTGTTTGTTGGGATTTTAGAGCTGAAGTTGCTTTCTGCTGGGATGTATTTCATGCAATGTAACTTTACTTATTTGTGATAGTGCCTACATTCCTTGCACATATAGATTGTGTATAGATTGACTGTGTATTCCATACACGGTCAGAGGTGGTCAGGCCAACAGGGTCTCTTCCCGGCTCTGCCATGAGTCCCTTGCCATCTCTGAGCCCTGCTTTCAAGCAGCTGTGTTTCCTGTTGGCTCTTCCCACCTCTTTGCTCAGGAGACCCTCTGCATGGAGATGGACTGAGGGTGGCCAGGTACAACACCCACCCCTGAGCATTGCCTGGGGGCACTCCATTTTCCGTAGAAGGTACAGCTCAGATGCTTGCTCCTCTCTGTTTTCCTAGGTTAGCTGTGGTGGGGTTTCTGGTGATTTGCCAGGTACAGCAGTCACAGGTATAAGGGAGAAATCCTGACCCAAGAGAGGCAAAGGCAGTTTTCCACCATCTTCGAGACGCCCAAGATTTTACCTTTAACAACCTAATAAAAGCTTGGACAAACACTAAGCAACCCCATAGATTATTTGCTCTTGTATTCATTGCTAAACACATTTCAGAACAGAGATTTTATTATTCCTAGAAGCACTCAAGTCCAGTATTTCCTCTGCTTCTCACAATCCATTCTATTATCCCATTGCTACAGTCAGCTCCAGGACATTCTAGCAAGACACTGCTTAAAATGGCTATTGCCACAATTCAGACAAACTCAGTCCTACAGCACAACAGCTCAGCCAAAATATCACAGGCACCATTGAGCTTCCCAGCATACTGCTCTCACTGTATAACATAACTGTTCTTACTCGTGCCCCACATACCAGTGTGTGCCCACAAAAATGGTCCTTTCCAAATCCACAAATACTTGGATACTCTTTTCTGTACAGTCGTGCAGAGAATGCAACGATGCCACACCAATACACCAGGCAAGTAATAGTATCGATCTGGATGGACTTGAAGGCTTTGACCTCAGCTACTGAGGGGGCGGGCACTTTGAGGTAAAGGTCTGTAGAGGTGAGAGGATGAGCAGTCACTCACCAGTCGGGCAGAGATCACAGGGCTGGTAGGAGATGGGCAGCAGGGAGGAAAGGTGCTCACAGAAGGCAGTTTGCAGGGGATGGCGTTAGCTGGAGGCAGCATTTTTACATCTGGTTCTAATGAACCAGACCAATCTCTTTTCAGCACATGTGTCGTCCCTAGTAATAGAGCAAATGAGACATTTCTTTTGAATTTGTAATTCCTGTTCCAATTCATTTACTTAAGTGTTGTTGAGTATTTTACTTATACTAAATGTTGCAGTGAAGGTGTACCTGAAATTTCTAGCAAACTTAGAAGCGCCTAACAATCCAGGCTGCAAATGCACATTACATATACTAGCTATCATATCATTATCATTTGACACTTCTACAATATGTTGGCTTCCCTTCTAAAAATAATTCACTATTAATAGCAATTTTATGTAACTACCAGCATGTCAGGGATTTCTCGCAGATCCCATCCCTGAAGAATCCCCAGGCAATCAAATCTCATCTCCAAAGTCTTCTGGTGATTGATTCATTCACCTCTCCAGTGGTCTTGAGTTTGCTCTTGCTCCCGCTGAAGTAAATCCAGCCGTCTTGGTGAATTGTAGTATGCAGAGCAGATTAAAGGCTCCAGTCCTGACCAAGCAAGACATTTTTAAGCACATCTTACCTGTAAGCGTATATGTTGCTTCAGTAATTAATGGCATCACCTAAATCTACAGCCAAGCAGGCTGTTAAACACCTCTCTGTACAGCTGGTGCCTTAAACTGGGAAAACTCCCTGGCACAGCTTTGGAGCTGCTCTAGAATAACTCACAAGTAATGTACATTGGCACTGAAACGTATCAGTCATGAGAAGCGTAAACAAGAGGAGCAGAAGCATCTACAGTGGCACTACTTTTCAAAACACACTTAATGGCTGTTGGGAGGCAAGGCCTGAGCCTTATTTTAGGTTTAAAACTGAACTTGTGAAGGAAGGCAGCTGCTCAGGGACCCAGATGAGTCACAGAGGGCATGTGAAGAAGCCAGTCTACCTAAACAACTTTCAGGGGATGGTAAATATTGTAGTTAAGATAAAATTTTATTAAAGGTTTGTTTTTACTAAATCTTTGCTCCTGCTGTTAAACTGGATTTAAAGCAGTGTGGTATCTTTATTCCACTAGTAATAAATCCCAGCCAAGGAGAACAGCATGTATCCAGATGCAGTTGGATCTGCCAGGTAGGAATGACTGGTTGCAGAGTAAGGAATTACAGTATGGCCCCCTCATTTGCAGGGGGTGAGGCCTGGGGCCAGAGTCCTGCAGATATAACCAGGGCACTCAGCACCTGCAGCTGCAATTGAGGCTAATGGGAATTGCTGGTACTCAGCACCACTGGGGCTTTGTCTCTAAAACACCCCTGAAAGGAACTTAAGTTGTCCATCCTCCCCTTGGAGTATACGCACATCTATGGGCTTCCCTACGTAAGATGATGTATGAACCCCAGCCACACATCTGAGAAGTTGGTATCTTGGTACACCCTCAGCATTCCCATCAGGGAAATCCTCTCCAGACAGCTGTAGATTAAACTCAGGTCACACACTGGGATGAACAGTTCTTTGATAGGTCCAAGCTTTCCTGACAGCAGATTGGGGCTTGTGGCTAGAACATAGGTCTATTGAAAAGCATGCTGAATGCAATTGCCTTCAGGAGGTGATAAATGTCAGGAAGGCAGTACACAAAGCATTTGCAGACCTGAGTCACAGAACGAAAGCATGAAGCTCCTTAGAACAAGGTCTAACTCCCTTTCATATCTGCAGGTCTCAGAGGTGCTGTCAGGTAAGGAGCATGAGTCCTGAGTATCTACAACACCCCTTTCTCGGCAGTCTTTATCCTATCACTCTGCAATTGCTCCTATGCCAAACAGTCAGAAAGTCACAGAGAAACATTTCTTCCCCATTTTATCTGCACGTGCTCTCCAGAGATTGAAGAGTAAAGAAAGCAGAAAGGAAAATATTACCACTTTCAGAGTTCTGTCCCTGTTACAGAAGTCCTCACTTCATGAAAAGCATCATGGTGCACCTGCTACAACTGCTTCCACTCAGAGCCATCTCTGCTGAGGTGCCTCCTCAAAGATGCAGGAATCCTTTGGAAATGGGGCCTGGTTGCCCTCTCCTTTTCTCTGCAGTCTGTATTTGCATTCAGACTGTGTAACTTCCAACTGCTAGGTAAGAAGAGCCGATAATGACATGACACAAGTTTCACCAACACAAAGAAGACAATCTTGCCTTTTGGAAGTCTCTCCCTGTTCTCTTTAGTTCCAAAAAGATTTCATTGCTAGTAGCATGGGGTAGATCTTCAGTGACTGTAAACGGACAGTGCTCTGCTGTATTCCTTGGACTGACAGTTATTTATACTACCCAAAGATCCTGCATACCCTCCAAGCCACTGCTTTGCATACTGCACTCTCTTCTCCTCAAGTTGATCAGGTATCATGACTTAGATAACAGAGTCAATAAGAATCAATACAATTTTAAACTGGGCGTCTTCGCTTCCAAGGTGTAAAAATGATTTGTGGCTTGCGCACTTGCTTCTCCAATAAACAGCCTGAAGAGGCCATGGAGGGTGAAAACCAGAAACTGATACTCCTTTCTGTGGAATGTGATAAGAAAGAGCTGTGCCTCTAAAAAGGACTGACTTGATAATACTCTTCCTTCATTTCCAGCTGTTGTCATGAGCTGAACACTCCTAAAGGGACAGCTCTTGAAATCCTCTTGGATTACTTGTGAAGCACATAGTAATAAATTTTATCAAATTACCATGTTTGTGGCCTTTTTTCTCTAAGTGTAGTTAGTTGCCATAATCACAAACTCAAACAAGTGGAATCACTTAGAAGAAGTAGTTGTACGCGCCATGACTGATAGTGGTCACTTTGATGAGGTTTTCTGTTGATAAGATTTCCTCTGAATTAGGAGTCTGAATATCCCATCACTACCTCTGGATGGACTGTTTCCCAGCAGAGAGGAAGATTAATTCTGCTCCCAGGCAGCAGCCACCAGGCTGGTAGTATAAAAAGAACAATTGTCCAGATTACACTGTAGTAATTCAAATGGTTAACTAATGCACAGGAGAGTAACTCTCCACACAGCTCCACCCTCCCCTGCTTTATCATCACCACTAATCAAAAACACATCCACATAACTTTTGTCACTGGTTCCAAGTTGAAAGAGAAACTAAAGACTTTGCTGATCTGAAATTGTTAGCACTTGGCATTTAAAAAGCTCTTCAGAAGGCACCTGACAAACAAATTACTTCATCTTTGAAGAAAACTCCTTTTTGGGGGGAGTCAGGGTAATGTTTTTCAAGTGGTTGGTGAAGCAGATGTGCTCATGATTTTCCTAGGAAATATGCGAAAATTAATCAAATAGCTCCAGGAGCAGCAGACCACTACAGCCAGGTTCTTCATTTATCTGTGTCTAGAGGCTGGATTCCTTGGTACGAAGGAGGCACAAGCCATGGCTGACATTTCCCTGTACCTGAGACTGTCATGACATCTCTCTCCCAAATGCCTCTCTCCACAGCCTCTCCTCTCCTGGGCATATCTGCATTTTCTTCCCTACCTCCACCTACAAAATTTAATTGAAATCGGTCAAAAATTTATTTCCGAGCACCTATCAAATTTGGATGAAACTAGTCAGGATATCCAAAATTACAAAGGAGGAAGGGCACGCTGGCGCCGGAGGCCAGATTTGAGTGGCACGCTGAAAACTCCCCCAACCACTCAGCACCTACACTGCTGTAAGCCTGAAGACGACCTTCATCACACCTCCAGGGTACCTGGTGCTCTGGGGTGGGACCACAAGCAAATCCTGTGCCCTCGAGGCTGCCTCAGCCCCAGCCCAGTGCTCCAGAGGCAGCTGCTCCAAGCAGTAGTGTAGGAACAACCATCCCCTGCAAACGGAGGCCCACCTCTCGCTGCAGCAACGGGCTGAAAGAAAGACACAGGGCACTTTCGTATGGACATAGGTAGGGATGGCATTCTCATCCTTCCTTTTAGTGCCAACAACTACCTGTGGGAAGATTAGACCTTATCCAACAGGCCACTTACATCCTCCTGACAGCTAAGCTTCCATTGTACGGCCAGCACATTAAATGAGATTTCAATGTGGGCAAGCAGGCCAGATGCAAGTCTAGAAGTAAGGGGGTTTATTTCTTACTGACCAGCCTGATAGCAGAAGTGCCATGGTCATTCTTTCTAATTTCGGGGACCTTTTAAATAAAGTTCCACTCCAGAAGCCAAGCATGAAAGGAGAGGAATGAAAACTCTTTGATAGATAAGATATTACAAGAGACTGTCAGAAGCTTGGTAGGAGAATGAAATAACACTCTGGATACTGTCATTGAAAACAATAATGAAAGAGTACACCATTTTCTTAACTGAAGTACTATCAAATCTATGTTACTGCCACACAACATATTTTTCCTCCAAAGGTGCCAATTTCAAGCTATGACTATTGATCTCTATCTAACACTCAAAATTAACTGCACTACTAAGGAAAAGTGGCACCAAATCGTTTGAGAACATCAAACAGTAAAAAGCCAATGGGGTCAAATCAAGGTCAGAATTTGATGAGTAGGGTGTCAGAAATTTAATTCATTTTGTCTAAGATAATGTATAGAGCCAGTATTGGGGCTTTTTTTCCTTTCTTTTCTGTAATTTTTTTAAGCCAGCTTCTCTCAAAAATATCACAAAACCAGACCTCAACTTTTTTTATGAACTTTTTTCCATGACTGGAGAGAGAAAAGATTAAACGGACTGAAACACAGATGGCAATTATGCCTCTGTTTATTTCCTAATGAGTCACAAGATTATTTTTTGCCTTCTGCCACATCATTTCAGAATACAAGAAAACCTTATCTTGAAGGAGACTTGTGGAGACAAAATAACACTGTTAAAAGTTCCAGTCCAGCAAGATACTTAAGTGTATTAAGAAAAAAAAAAAAAAAACCAAAAAAAACAAACAACAAAAACCCCAAACCTTTAACCATGAGTGAAGTCCCATTCAGTTAGACTCAAATTCAGAAATGATGGGTAAATCTGTTCCACCAACTGGTGAATGTGGTGGCTAGCAAATTCATTAGTGGTCTCATGACAAAATATTCAACAGCTCTCATAGTGACATGTTGCATTTCCATCTTGGCATCGGAGAAAATGAAGTCCAGAGCTACGGCTAGAAAAGGCTTCCCCTCCACCTCCCCACCAGAGCCCGAGATGCCCATGCCCTCTGACCACCTCCCATTTGAGTCCATATCCCCCCCCTGCCCAGGACATCCCCCAGCCTCAAAGACTTGACCGAACTCACATCCAGGATGAAACCTGGCCCTGGAAAGCCCGGCTGCCTCCCACACGAGAGGCAGTACAGCCACGGGCACACTGACCCAGCGCTGGCTGGGCTCTCCAACTTGGCTGTGGCCACTTTCTCTTAAAACACGGGCTGAGTAACTGATCTGATAGTGGCAACACCATCTGCTTCTCATATCACAGTCTAGTTATTAGCGCGCTCTTGAAAGGAAGCAGAGGATATGTATTATCAGTGCAAACCCATGTCTCTCACCTCCTCAGAAGGTGCCTCAA